GCTCTAATTCCTTGCTTACTCAGCAACCATCTGACTGCTAATTAAATTGGCATTATGGTTATAAAGTGAGACTTTTATGATTTGCTTACTATTAATCAAACTTCTAGGGCTTATTCACCTCTAGGGGAGCTAACACAATTAAATTCCTTAGTCTACAAATATCCAGCACCCCAGAATACTTTATTCCTCACCCCATTCCTACGAATCCAAGTCCAAACACTTGGCCAGCCAACTCCTCTTTGGCCAGTAAGCCTGCTCACAGTGATACTTGTGGCATTTCAGGGCCCACAGTTCACTGATTAGCAATTGACATGCACCCTCAGAAAATAAACAAAGAAGAAAGAGTTTATGATATTTAAATAAATAAATAAATAAGTCTGTTTGTTATATGGGAGGGGAAGAAGAACTTTAAACTAAGCAAGTCTGAGTTGTTCATTAACCATTGCATATTCTGTAGTAAGAGGATGAATGTTGTTATGAAATTAGTCTTTGAAATTTCCATTGAACAGTGAGGCTAGAGTCCCATGGTCAGAACAAGAAGAAAACAGTACATGAATAGCAAAGATACAAACACCTAGTATGAATGTTTTGCTAACGCTCCCTTCTTTTCTAGCACTGTATCGGAGTCACAGCTGAGATTCTTTCTAAAGCACAGGGTCTCTGCAGCAACCACTGAGGACTCCAGGAATGCGGTGACCCTTGACCTTAATTCATCCCTCTTGGCAGATCCCATGTAACCACCCTTCTAACAGAGCTTTCTCGAACTCAAATAAACACAGGGAAGGCAGTCTCTCTTGTCTTTGGGAATCTGTGTTTATCCATGTAAACTTCACTCACCACAAATTACCTCTCAGGCAAGAAACATTCATTTTTTTGTTGTATTTGTCATTGTCATTTGTCCCACACGAGCATGCCTCTGATCAAAAATGCATTCCCATTAGTTGTTTTTTGTTTTTTTTTTTTTTCATTTGTATTTCAGCCTTGCTTTTTTTCTCAACTAAAACACTGTAAACTCCTTCTTGGGCTCCCTTACTTTTGCTTCAGGCTATCTGCACTTGATCTTTTAGGTCTCTGCCAACATTTTATCTTCTTTTACTATTAAAAATAATCTCTATCGATGAGGTTTTATCAATAATTCAGCAACCAGATTCAGAATCCTCTCTGTCCTCTGAATTGCCTCACTTTGCCTCCACCTCCTCTTTTTTCAAATTCAAATTTTATTAATGATTTGCCAATCCATGACAGTTCAGAAGGCAAGCAAGTCTAAGTGGCCAAGGGCATGAGGCTTGGAGGACACACTAACGTAGTGAATTACAGAATCAACTACTTAGTGGTGTAAATAAGATGGAGTAGTGGGAAGTAAGAAGCAGGATGAGCTGTATCAGGCATAAATGTAGATTCCTGTATTTAGGTTAAAATTGATATGTGATAGGGCCTCCCCAGTGGCGCAGCGGTTGAGCGCTGGCTTGCGAAGCTGCCTGCAGCCTCTGCAAGCGCTGGTTCCATCCCCAGCCACCAGGCGAGGGTCCCACATGGCGTGCAGACCTCTCCTGCCGCCCGCGGCTCCCCTCAGCAGTGTACTTCATCAGTCTGCCTGTTCTGCCCTCCCCTCTGGCTCTGGTGGATTCTCTCACTCTCCTGAGCTTCTGACTGTACCCAGTGCTTATATAAATAAATAAATAAATCTCTAAAAAAAAAAAAATTCCTATGTGATAACCACAATGAGCTATCAGCTCACACCTGTTAGAACAGCTATCATCAAAAAGATAAACTATAACAAGTGTCAGCAAGGATGTGAAGAAAGGAAACCTTTGTGCACTGTTGGTGCAGCCACTGTGGAAAACAGTATGGCAGTTCCTCAAAAAGTTCAAAATAGAACAAATTAAACAGCAATTCCATGTCTTGGAATATATATATAAGACGTGAGAACCGAAAATCAAAGAGATGTCTGTGCTCCCAAATTCATTGTAGCATTATTCATGATAACTAATATATGAAAAAAATAAGTTTCCACCAGTGAATGAATGGATAAAAGAGACATGGGGTGTGTGTGCATGTGTGTGTGTGTATAACAAATGTCAATAACAAATACAAGAGATAATGAAATATTATTCAATCATGAGAGTAAAGGAAATGCTCCCATTTATGATGACATGAATGAAATTGGAGGGCATTATGAAAAGTGAGATAAGTCATAGAGAGGAAGATAAATACTTCAGAGTATCACTTGTATATGGTATCTGGAAAAAAGAAAAAGGTTGAACTCATAGAAACAGAAAGTAGATAAAAAGTATTCATGTGAGGGGAAGAGTGTATTGGGGGAGGGCAGGGACTTAGGAGAAATAAGTAAAAATAAACTTCTCTCTATAAGCTGAGTAAAGTCTGAGGATCTAAGGTAAGACATGGTGACTACAGTTAATAACGAAGTATTATGTAATTGAATTCATTAAAAGGGTAGAACTTAAAAGTTTTCACACACATTTACAAAGATAAATCTGTGAAGGATGTGTTAACTAGATGGTAGCAATTCTTTCACAATGCATGCATGTATCAGATTTCAAAATTTTGTCAATTATGCCTCAATTAAGCTGAGAAAATAAAAAAATTCATAAATGATAGAAGCACAGGATGATGAATAATATATGGTGATTTTAGGTCATTGTGACCCAGGGGTTGCAGTGGGCAGTGCTATGATGAAGTGGGGGTGATCACAGATACAGATGTAAGAAGCTGCTTAGAGGGCATCATTCACAGTGGAATGCCTTTATCAACAGAAATAGCTACCTCAATGTCCTGAGTGTTGGCCTGGCCCCCCTCTTGAGCATCAGACACTGTCCAGTTCAGAGCGTCATATTTGAAGAGAAACATTGACCAATGTGAATATGTCAGGGGAGGAAATCTTAGGTAGTAAGGATTCCAGGAAATGTGTCTCAAAAGGAATTGTTCAGAGAAGTGGAAATGTCTACTAGCAAAAAGAAAATAAACTGTCACCCCCCCACTTATGTCAATTGATGACAGGAAGACCAGCAACTGTGAATCAAAAGAAAGAAACAGGACATGTGTAAGGGAAGAAAAAGGGCCGAGTAGATGATACCACTAGAAACTGTGGCCTAGCCTCAGAGTTGGAGGGGAGGCCTGAGTCGCCAAGTCTGTGTAAGTAATGCTGCCTGCCGTCACGTGGGAATGTGGACCTGGAGCCGCCATCTTTCCTAATTCTTCAAGAGAAGCCCAAAATCCAAATGTTCATGCAACGTGTCTCAATTTTTTGTTTCAGCAACTTTTTCAGAAATTTCAAAGGAACATCTTCAGGCCAAACAGGCCATGTCTCTGGATTAGGAGCAGTCTAGGCAGCCAACACACAAACTATAGGAGATATTTCTAGGTTGTAACAGAAAGTAGTGCCAAGATGCACAATGGAAGATTTATTTGAGATCTGAGAGAATTTTCAAGTGTTTAGCATTCATAATCAGAAAACAGACTCTCCACATTCTGAGCAATGGAAAAAGGAAGTGAATCCTGGATGACAATGTACGAGAGATAATAGTTTTCTCGTCAGCAGAGATAATTGTGTTATAATTATATACTTTACATCAGAACAGTAGTTGACAGTTTACAAAGAGATTTTATACCATTTCATATTAAAAAGTTATTAGAACAGTCTTTTGAAGTAGAAAAGAAGGTATTTCTATTTTACAATGAATAAACTAAGTGTCTAAGATATTAAATCACTCAGAGAAAATCATCTGGGAAACTGGGCAGTAGAACCAGGAATTGGATGACTCAGGTTATCTAAGCCCAAATTTAGAACTCTTTCCAGTGCCACTTAAGAGTCATATTCTAAAGATAAGCGATTTCATTCCTAACTATCCTCTGAACTGGAATATGTTTGTTGCTGCTTTCCTGTAGTCAAACCATTCTTCCCTCATGTTCTTGGACACATTTTTGTTTTCCTGGAATGCATTCCTGACCCTTCCACAACTTCCTGAAAGCCTTTTTCCTTCATGATCTCTTGTTTCTTCCTCCCTAACTCTCTCAACTATGGGAATTCCCCCTCCCATTACTCCAAGCTGGATACCCCCTTGACATGTATTTGTCCAACATTTTTCTCTATCTTCTCCACATCGTCTACATTGTTGTCTTTATCAAGCCCAAACCTACCTTAATCCATATGCAAACACACGCACACACATAAACACGACTTAGTGTTTCATTGATCAATGAATCATCAATGATTATAAATCCAATCCGAAAGTCGCAAGGAAGTAAACTATCTGTTGTCAATTGTGGCTTCTCTTTCTATTTCCACTTTCTTCCAGAAATTTTGGTTATGATTCTTTAGATTTAAAGGCCAGTTGGGAAGTTTTGTTTCTATACAGCCAATGCAAGAGAGCCAGTAAAGGATATTTAGTTCTCTATATTGCAGGTTAATCAATATCACATGAAATATGTCATTATTCCTTGGAGCCCAATGAAACGTGTATGGAAAGAACACAAATATTGTGGAGAAATTGTAAACTAAGCAAAACTTCCAAATGACTGAGTTTAGTTAAAATATAGACTTTTTGTAAACAGTGCCAAGGGATTTTCCTTGTTGACTCATGGACATATATCAAATATAATGTTGTTTTGTTTTTTAATCTATTATATTTAAGTCTGTGCAGCCAACTGTCTTTGAGTGTGAAATAAATTATTATAATGTGCATCTATCATCTAAAATGAAAGACAAAATGCCTAGAATAGGGAAAACATGCACAGATATAGGTGAGGGAGGTAAAAAGTCCCAAGAAGATTGCGTAGGACATTTGTTGTTAGTTTTGATTGTTCAGTTTTGATGATCTAGCTGGTCAAATGATCTGTTAAGAATAAGAATATTTCTAAAGCTAATGTTCCGATGCGCTAATCTCTCCAGGCAAGGTTCATATTTGTGTGGGTTACTTATTCTCCCTTTGTTGACTAAGTCAATAATCAGAATCAGCAGGTTTGGAGTTAGGTTGGCAGGGATCAGCAGCCTGGCTTGGGGGAAGTGAGTATAAAAGCCCCAAGCTGGGAGCGGCCATCATAGAGCCCACTAGTTCTCGACAGGATGGCTTCCCAGCGCCTGCTCCTCCTATGCCTTGCTGGACTCGTATTTGTTTCTGAGGCTGGCCCTACGGTGAGTGTCTCATTCTGTGAAGCCCCTTTCTTACATTTCCTATGTATTCTAGCTGAAGTAGAAGTGACAAGGGGACTCACCATCTCTTTTTAAACATCATCGATTCAAGCTCCACAAAGAATGAAGCTTTGCTGAGCTCACTGAACTGGGGCTTGGATTCTGGATGCTCTCCCATTTGTTTTGGTGTCTCAGGTTTGCTATGCCTCATACCTCAATTTCTTAAGATAAATGGTAGAAATAATGACATTTGTGAAGCTATTCATAGCAAATTTTCATAAATGCATGCTTTTATAGAATTTATTTCCCTTTAGCTAATGAAAATGGATTTATCAACTATTTTTGAAAGGCTTGGAGGGCAATATTCGATATCTTAAGTACTCTAGAAGAATTAATGAACACTATAAAAAGGATCACAAAGTCATGCAACATTATTTTATGACTACTAAGAGGGAATTAATTACTTGGGCAACAATTGACTAAAATGCTCTCAGGAAAATGATTTGGTTCCATGGAATGTTATATATTTTCAATAATTCCACTCAAACAGCGAGTCTTAATGAAGCCACAGGTCTCAGGGGCCTATTCTCTCCTTTAAAATCCATTGTATATGTACCCAGTTGAGCTCAGTGTGTTTGGAGGCGAAAACCATTCTTGCTTTGGGAACACTCTTGTCTATGTTATACTGAGTAGCAAAGCTCATTAACTGTCAACACTTGGGTTACAGGAAATGCGATTAGAATATACTTCCTGCCTTGTTCCAGATTTCTAATATCATAGAGTGGATCCTTTTTCTATTGCCAAGTCTGTTAACTTCTCACTTGTCTTCTCCATACCCAGGGCCAATCCAAGTGTCCTCTGATGGTCAAAGTCCTGGACGCTGTCCGAGGCAGTCCTGCTGTCAACGTGGATGTAAAGGTGTTCAAAAAAGCTGCTGATGAAACCTGGGAACCGTTTGCCTCTGGGTAAGCTGCCCAGCGAAACCAGACATGGGACTTTATTTTACCTTTCATTTACCTGCCACTTGTTGTTAAACAGAAAATTAGGCAGAGGCCAAGAGGGTCCTGAGAAACATGACTTCCTCTCGCTTTGCATAGCTGAGCATGACCAGGAATCTGAACAATCATTTTTTTGAGTATGTAGCTTCCATCACTTTCTTTATGTGGCATGTGATCCAAAATGATGGTGAGCCACTGCTGGAGTATATGGAAGGTGCCACCTCCTTCTTTTTGTCACTGTCTGTCCCTAATGACACTCAGGTGCTTTGTGAATGCTGCCCCTCAATTCTTTTCCTTTCATTAATAAGTTATCACACAGTACACATCTTTGCTAAAATTACAAGACAAGGGTTCTTGGCTTGAGAATTACCCAAGGGCACCAGGGATCCTGAAAATTCCTGAAATGACATATACATGTTTGTATGTGTGAGCAGCTGTCTGCAGTTTACCCAGATCACCCCAAATCCAGGACTTTTGTCTAACAACTATTGGGGGAGCACCCACTCTGCATGGCTGGGCGCTGTCGAGCTCAGTAAGAAAGGACACAGAAAAGTCAGATGCACAGTGTAGACTCAGCACAGCCCAACCTCCCAGTCACCCAAAATCAGGTACAAGAGTGACTTCGCACCTCTTGGCTGCTTTATAACTTTAAGGGAGTCTTTCCACTTCTGCTAGCAAGAATTTCAGAGTAAATGCCTATTAGTAAACCTGAACCAACTAACTGAAAAAATCAACCAGGAAACGGTTAGCACAAAGTATTACTGCTGAGTGTTTTGCTTTCCATGTGGGGGAGACTTCCTGTGTGTTTTAACTGAATTCTAAGATCCCCAACCAGTTCCTTACCCATTATTAGGAAGATCACTTTCTTTTATGTGATTTCAGGTGAGTTTTTGCTTGTAGTTAATTTATGTTTATGTAAAATGCCAAGCACAATATGAAAAATAATTAAGAAAGTATTCTAAGAAAGAAAGAGAATAGACACCAAATATATGTCTGCGAATATTTTTTCTTATGACAAGACAATAAAAGTATGTTAAATGTTTTCTTCCTGGAAAAGAAGAAAGAGGGGTGGGCGGCTATGGTCAGAGGCAGCAAAGACTACTTCCATTTTTATGTGTCTTAATTATTACAGTTTAATAGGGAATAGTTCCTAACATCAGTTTTTTTTAATTGTATTACTTTTTTAAAAAGTAACTTTTATTTACAACACTGTATATGATTTAGGGATAATAGACTCACACCTCTTCTAACGCACATTATCACACCACAGCCACCACCAAGGAGTCCATATCTTAATCAGATCTTAATTGGGATTTAGTTGGGACTTAAATAGAAGTTACCTAGTTAACAAAAAAAAAAAAAGTTGCCTTCTTTGTTGTTGGCAAAGTATTTCCAGAGAGATTAAATATATACAGTTCTTCACCTAATGCCACAGGGGAGAGGACAGAAACCTGGTGTTCTGGAGAGCTGCCCAGTCAGGGGGCTCACACCCACTTCTGGGGGTCTTTAATAAATTTCCTCCAAACACCAGCGAATTGCAATGACTCTTTTTGAACTAAAAAGAGGTGAAAAATCTACAATGTACTTTTGGAAGCATTTCTAACAAATTGCCAACCTGGTAATTTCAGATAGTTACTAGAATTTTCCCTGTCCTGACTCTGTTGAGAGGAAAACAATACACGCACATGAAGCATGTGGGGGTGTGTGTGTGTGCGCGCGCGCGCACGTGCACCTGCACACTGGTGTGGTGTCATTTTGTCATGCTGTTATTCCTTCAGTGCTTCACTTAACCTGAACTTTTGCTCCTCCTAGGAAAACCAGTGAATTTGGAGAGCTCCATGGGCTCACCACTGAGGAGAAATTTGTAGAAGGGGTATACAAAGTGGAATTAGACACCAAATCCTACTGGAAGGCACTTGGCATTTCCCCATTCCATGAATATGTAGAGGTGAGTGCATAGACACTTGAGCTTTGGTTTTTGGTTTTGGGGTTTTTCTCCCGATATTTTGGGTTTTAATCCCAGGAAATGCACAGTTTGCCTTTCACTTACTATGGAAATGTCACAAGGAAAGCATTGAACTAACACAGTTTTTCCTTTCCCATCTCTATAACCAGAAATCCACAAAACTCTGAAAAGCAAGCTTTTCCCCTAAATTTGGTGAAAATTCATTTAGCAACATAATACAAACTTATATGATGCTCTTTATAGTCTTCATTCATTTTACTGAATATTATTATTATTTGCTGAAGAGATATTGATATGTGGGATCATGAGATAACCTTCAAACCCCACTTGGGGTTTATATAACAAAAAATAGATGCACCATTTTACTTCTCTAAAGTTTTGTTCCAAAACACACCTGCTCCCAGAGGTTTACATAAATGATTTTGGGCACTGCATAGAGAAACAATAAATTCAAAATAATTTCAAAATAATAATGGTGACATAGAAGATACTAATTATCAAGCATATATCCTATGTCAGATGCAATTGTGTTTTCAAAATTTAACCTATTTAATCCTCATAAACAACCCATTCAGGTTAGTCCTATTATTATCCCCATTTAGCCACTGATGAAAATGAGGCACAGAGATATTAAGTAACTTGTCAAAGGTCACAGGGCTAATAAGGAGAAGAACAAAAATCATTAGCAATGTGACCCAGTGTAGATTTAGCCTCAGGTATGCCCCAGCTTTCCACCTATTAGAAGTCAAGCTAAAAAATAATAATAAAGCCACATTTGTAATGCTTGATTCACCTTCAATTCCTTTGCCTATTAAGTATTTAAGAACCTCAAAGTTATACATGGCCCTAATCTTGTGTGTCATTCCTTAAGTCATTTAAAACAGAAGACTCTCATGGAAATAGAATCCAGACATGTCGGTCCAACTTAAAGATCAACTAATTGGATCAAAAATAACTTGGCATGAAAAGGAACCATTCTCTCTAGCTTAGTCATGGACAAAACTTTCAATTGACATAAAACGGCTCTTTTATTAGACAGTGTTGCCAGGGAAGCTGTAGAGGCTTGTTAGACTTCTGGGGCCCACAAGTCACAAGCAAGCACATCTATTGTGGAGCACGGCTTGGCACACCTCTGCCAGGCTGCAAGACACAGAGCCCCTCCAGGGGCGGGTGCAGGGTTTAGATGGTGCCCTCCACCCGACATGTGCCCTAGGAGACTTTGCTTCAGCCCTAGAACTCAAAATAAGTTTCCCTGCAACCTTTGTCTTCCCTGAGTCTCCATGATAGGAACCCCTGAGAAAATTCACTGCTGTCCTTACTGTTCATAAAGTGTTGTTCCTATTCATTGGATATTAGCTTCCTTGTCTGCTATTCATTCTTTCACTACTCATTCAAATATTAAAAAATGAAAACTATGTGTTGAGCATTCTGCAAGAGATTCAGATGTGAAAATACATCCTTACCCTTGGAATGGAAGTGGGGGCACTGCTATAGGACATTTTGGGCGGAATCATGAGCCCAACTTGGAGTCTGAATCGATATGGAGAATGGAAGGCAAGCATGAATTCCAACATCTCACTTCAGCCATGAGATCAACCATAAGATTTTTCCCTCCAGCTTCTTCTAAAAAGGACCTTCCAGAATGTTCTCTTCCCTAGCATTACTTCTTCCTTAACCAGTGACCCAGGTGGCCATATTAGACTTACCCCAGAGTTAGGAAATTTCTTTTGGAACTATTAGTCCTCTTCACTTCATAGATTTTTTTGAACATAGATTATGCCATTCATAATTCTTAGGAAGACTCAAGTGGGACTGAAGAGATAAGAGATTGTCCTCAGTTGCTTCCAGAAACTTGGCCTTTAGGGAGTGCCCGTTCTCCTTCAGGGAGATTCTTAAGTGATTCTCTCCTCCTCTCCTTGATGTGATTTTGGGGTTTGGTATGGTGCAACCAGATCTTTTTTTCTCCTGTGCCCAAGTAATCATGGTTTCCTTTTTCCATATTTGGAACAAAATGTATTTATACAAAGTGTGCCAAAGCTCAACCTAGGACCTGTAAACAAAATAACTAAAAGTAAATACTTCCTAACTGCTCCCATCTCTCTCCTGAATCAAATTTTTCTCTACATGCTTCACTGCAGGGGCCTAGATTTTCCTAACACCTGAGTCTCAGAAGCTTCACTCAACTACTAAATTAGCCTGAAGTTTGTGACTGAGACAACACTTTGAATGACAATTTTCCCAAACAGCTGCAGAATTCCCACCTGGGTTTCCCACACTGTGCTTGTATTGTAAATAGGACATTATAATGCTTTTATTTATGTCAGTGCCTGTTTTATACATAAAAACATACTTGATGTTCATGGTAGAAAATATAAAGGAACAATTGGAGAAAAAACTCTATGGGCATGGAGAACATCTTGTAGTCTGGCTCTGTCACCATATAAACTTGGGCCAAATACTGTAATTCAGGGTTGGGTTCGCTTATCAGTGACATGGGAGAATGGTTCCCTTTCTGCTCCGAAATTCTAGGCCTCTGAATCTATGGTGGGCTGGCAGTCACTACTCTCAGGTCTTCAGGTGGCTGAATGCCAGCTTCTACCTTCTCCCACCTCTTACTGAAACCAACAACATGAACAAGAAGTTTTAGGCTCTTTAGGATTTCCCTCAGCCAGGGGAGCACTTTCGGTTGTGAGTAGGTGAAAAAAAAGAGACCTGATTCTCCAGGCAGGGAGAAAAGTCTAATTCTAGGGCCCACACAAGACTCCAGAGGGTTTAGCTAGCCAGCCTATTTGGATATTGGTGTTCTAACCTGCCCAAAAAACTAATGAAATAAAAATAATCAACAGTCTCTGTCCATGCTGCCGGATGAGCTATGCTGGAATTAGCCTCTCTTCTCCCGCAGGTGGTGTTCACAGCCAACGACTCCGGGCAGCGCCGCTACACCATCGCAGCCCTGCTCAGCCCCTACTCCTACTCCACCACAGCCCTCGTCAGTGACCCCAAGCAATGAAGGACGCCTCCTGCTGTGGCTGGGCAGAGGGGCAGGATTTCATGTAACCAATAGTATTCCATTTTTATTAAAGCAGTGTTTTCACTTTATAAGCTATGTTATAAACTCAGGCAGAAACAATAAAACATTCCTTTTAAGCACTTCCCATTTCATTGGAACTTGCTTTTTACTTTTTTATTCACCTGTTGTCCTTGCAAAATTGTTTTATTTGTTTTACTGAGACACAAAGGAATTCAGGAAGTCTCTGCTCAAAACTCTGGGGCAAATACAAATTTCCAATGTCTGTGTGTGTGTGTGTGTGTGTGTGTGTGTGTGTGGAACCCTCGCCGGCGGCTGGGGAATGAACTGACACTGCAGAGGCTGCGGGCAGCCTCGCAGCCCAGCGCTCAACCACTGCGCCACCAGGGGAGGCCCAAATTTCCAATGTCTTTTAAGTGAAGTGCACATTAAACATAGTCTAAAGCCAACGAAACCCCACATTCTAAAGCTGAGAAAGCTTTTATTTCCCTCTAACCTTCAGTGAATAGTTAAAGACAAATTTGAGGTACCCACTTCTTTACTCTGAGGATTCCTTTTTTAAGAGTGTCACTGATTTTTTTTTTTTAAAGATTTATTTATTTATGCATACAAGAACTGGGTACAGGCCAGAGGTGTGGAGGGTGAGAAGATTCACAGAGACAGAGTGGGGACGGAAGATGCAAACTGACTGAAATACACTGTTGAGGGGAGCAGCAGGCAAGACAGGAGAGCTCTGCTGCACCATGTGGGTAGCTCCCTGGTCAGGGATCAAACTCATGCTGCAGTGGCTGGAGATAGCTTGACAGTGCTGTGCTTAACCCCTTGTGCCACCAAGAAGTCCCCACTGATTTTAAGAGTAGAACAGCTCACTCAGTACAGAACTGCAGTTACCAGGCCCTCCAATTCAGTGCCGGCCAACTACACCCCAAATCAATTGAGGAAGGAATGTAGGCAGAGAACTTTTCCACTTAAACCACACCACCCACATATAGCAACCCAAAATTCATGTTCAAGTGCCTTTGACACACCAGGCACAATTTTAGGTGATCTGAACATGAAGAATAAGACCTAGTGCCTGTGTCTACAGAACTCATACCCTTTTGAGAAAATAACTATGTCAACATGACTTTACAAGAGACTCCAGTAGAAGGTGCAGTGAGAGCAAGAAAGAGGGAGTAGCAAACAGTCTGGAGAAGTTTGAGAAGGACTCACGAAATAAGTGACTTAATCTGACTCTCCGGGCTCCTTAGAGAGACAGGGATGAGGTGTTCTAGATAGAAAGCCAAGACTGCAAGGTCAGACCAGGTGAAACAATATGTTGATGGACTAGATGGTGATTTGCAAGGTTTCAAAGGATAACAAGTCCCTCTCCCATGTATATTTGGTCAATTGCTATTGGATGGCAAGTTCTGTAGTTTCAATGGTCACACATTGGCGACTTCATAAGGTTCAATCTAATCTCTATAAGGCCATGCCAATCTGTAGAATGCTGTATTTCTATTTGGTTGCTGTTAAGTAGGATGGACTTTTCTAATCCAAGCAATTTGAAATTATAACTCTTCCACAGAGAGAGAGAAATTCTGTATATTATCTATCTATCTATCTATCTATCTATCTATCTATCTATCTATCTATATATGTTCTGTATATTATAGATATATGTGTAAATAGATATAATATGAATTGAATTTAACATTCCTATATCCACTTACTGGTATCAGCAAACTTAGTTTTGTCTATTGAAACCAACTCTGTTTGACTCCCACTTAAAGTTCATTCTTCTCCTTCTGTTCTTGAATTTCATCTACCTTCTAGAAGCTGTGTAGCATCTTTACATAAGGTACAATGTTTCATTTGGGCCCTGACATTCCTCTGTCCAAGCAGCTTCAGCTGTAATGATCCTTTTCTCTGTTGTTAGAAGATTTTTGTTTTTTTTTTCTTATAGAGGCATGTTTTATTTATTTATTTATTTGTTTGTTTGTTTGTTTGTTCTGTTTATACATGCACTGGGTACAGTCAGAAGCGCGGGAGGGTGAGAGAATTCACCAGAGCCAGAGCGGGGAGCAGAGCAGGCAGAAGGACCGAAGTACACTGCTGAGGGGAGCAGCAGGCGGCAGGAGAGGTCTGCGCGCCATGTGGGACCCTCCTCCGGTGGCCAGGGAGCAGCCGGGGATCGAACCGGCGCCGCAGAGGCCGCGGGCGGCTTCGCAACCCAGCGCTCAACCGCTGCGCCACCGGGGAGGCCTTCTGTTGTTATAAGTTAATGTCTCCTCCTATGCTGTGAGGGGCTAGATTATGTCCCCTAAAAAAAAGATATTTTTAAATCCTAACTCCCAGTACCTTTGAATGTGACATTATTTGAAAATAGTCTTCACAGATGTCATTAGTAGATGAGATCATCAGGGTGGGCTCTAATCCAGTATTACTGGTATCATTATAAAAATTTGGACACAAACATACATATATTGTGAAGTGATTACCACCACAAGATTAGTTAACACATTCACCACCTCACAATTACCAGTTTTTTGTGGTGAGAACTTTTAAGATCTACTCTCTTAGCAGCTTTCAAGCATACAGTACAGTATTGCTAACTACAGTCACCATGCTGAACATTAGATTCCCAGAATTTATTCATCTTATAATTGAAAGTTCATACCTTCTGACCACTTTAGACAAGATTAGCAATTAAATCAGTAGACTCTGAATAGAAAGATTACCCTCCAAAATGTGGGTGGGCCTTGTCCAATCAGTTGATGATCTTGAGGAAAAACTGAGGCCACAGAAAGGATTTCTGCCTTCAGACTCAAGATTGTGACATCAACTCTGACTGATGTCTCAATGGTTTCTCTGTGGGGAGGGTAGACCAAAGGAGAGATAAACCCATAATTGGTAAAGCAGAACAGTTCTCTTTTCAGTGAAAAGAGGGTTTTGGTATTTTGTGGGGTTCAGTGATTTTTTTTTCTTACTTTGTCATGACCTTAGAGTAATCTTGTTTGGTGTTGATATTCTGTCAAAGTCAGTAGAACAAGGATCCAAAATCACTTGTAATAACACTGAGGCTGGTTCCTTTCTCCAGTTATTCCAGGAGCTCTCTCTTCCACCTCTTTACCTCAAGGTCTGTAGATGCATTTGGCAGATGGCAGTGAGGGCTATTTTGTGAGAAAGGAAAGAACCAGAGGAGTCCCAAAGTCCCGGCCATGATCCTGCCTCAGGGAGTGAAGGAACAGGCCAGCAACTGAGCTCAGGAATGTGGACAAAAGAACAGATTTGTAGTCAGAGATGGCGAGTTCAGCCATGCTGAGCTTAAAGCAATCAATCAGTTTTTACCTCAGAAGCTGGCATTGTATGGACCCTGATAGGCAGAAAGCAAAAATCACTAATATTAAAATACCTCCTGAAACATTTGGATACCAACTGTCAAGCAATGAAATTGAGGTTATTTATGCCTTAAACTATATTTTGTCTAGAGAGGCAGCACTTCCTAGGAATTTTTTTCTCACCCAAATCCTCAGGTTTACAGCCAATTCCTTCCTCTTATTTCACAGTTCATAGAACACACACCTCCCACGGCCCCATTACTTCTTCTTACTACCTTTCAAAATGGAAATAAACTCAGAATCAATTCCATGTTTTTAGCTCCGCATTCTCTTCTGGGTTAGAACTGCCCCAGATCATTTAAAACCAAGGCAAATGATCAATCATCTTCAGCCATCAGTGCAAATGCTGAAAGTTTATTCCAGAACCACTGTGAGCTAGCAAGGAAAGAGGGTTATGTGCAACCTGCTTAGGAAAAAAAAAAAAAAAATATATATATATATATATATATATATAAGATGGCTTCACTTATATGCAGAATATAAAGAAACGAAACAAAACAAAGGGCCAGGAAAAAGACAAAACTTGCAAGCTGACCATAGATCTGAGGCAAATAGCAGGGGAGGAAGAAGAGAGGACAAAATGAGGGAGGGAAGAACACAAGGGACTATGGTGATGGATCATGGGTGCCATGGTGATGGGAGAACTATGGGGATAACACCTGAGGGGAGAAATCAAATGTCCAAAAGTTAACAATAAGAAAAATAGTTCTGTATCTAAAAATAAGTTTCAGGGCCTCCTAGGTGGAGCAGCGGGTTGAGTGCAGTGCTGTGAAGCTGTCCACAGCCTCTGCAGCATGGGTTCGATTCCCAGTCAGCCAGGGAGACACCCACATGGCACTGCAGACCTCTCCTGTCTCGCTCGCTGCTCCCCTCTGCAGTGTATTTTGGTCCATCTGCTGTTCTGCACCCTGCTCTGTCTCTGGTGAATCATCTCACCCTCCCACGCCTCTTACCTGTACCCCAGCTCTTGCATAAATAAATAAATCTAAAAAAAAGATTTATTTATAATAAAAATAAATAAAAATAAATTTTAAGAAATTGAGATGTGGAATTTCCTCTGAGCTCAGCAGTCAGTCACTTGCTGTCACAGCCATCAGTGTCACACCCCAAGAGGCTTAAGGTTGTGGAAATGGGCATAAGACCTGAAGTGGACATATAAGGGTGAGCTTAGGGGGAGAGGGCTGAGGCCCCCCAGGAGAGTGTGTGGCTGCTAACAGCAGGAGGACTGAACTGAACAAACAGAATTTGAAGGCCTTCCCCTTAAAAGTGTTTTTGGAAAATTCACTGGAAAATCTTATCAGGTATCTGTAGAACCACGCCAAGCACATAGTCAGTACTCAATGAATATTTGTTGAAGGTATGAAAGAGTGGGCTCCAGGTAATCAAATGGTTCTTATCAGAATCCTTGCAAGCCCCTTGTGCTTTCCAAGATGTTTTCTTCCTCTCACAGACATGTGAGAAATGACATTGTGACCTACCAATGTACAAGACATGCACCAGTTGGTTCAAAACCATTAAGACTATCAACTCCTGGGAGTAACCTTGTTCAAATATTTTGTGCCAGGTTCTGTATCCTAGGATTGATTTCAAGAACTTAGTTCCTGAGAATACGTGAAAATAGAAAGTCTGTTTAAAATGTCCTTCTGCCTAGTGCCAGGACCCAAAGAACAAAAGGGTCCCTTCATTCAAAATTAACACTAAAGCCAGACTGGGGCTGGCCACTGTAGGGGTTCATGGCC